TACAACCCTACAATCATTTTGATCAAAACTCACAGACACATACAAGCTCCTCTCTCTGTTACACAAGTCAATGGTGTGAAAGTCAGTCAAGTCCGAGTCTTTCAGCATTTTTTCAAGTCAAGTCGCAAGTCTTGATTTCAATGACTCGAGTCTGACTCAAGTCCAAGTCATGTGACTCGAGTCCCCACCTCTGCTGTTAAGTGTTGTAAGAAGGAGGGATGCCACACAGTGGTAAAAATGGCCTTGTCCCAACTTTTTTGGGATTTGTTCACGCCATGAAATTTTGAAACAACATATTTTTCCCTTAAAATGATACATTCTCTCAGTTTAAACTTTTGATCTGTGATTTGTGTTCTATTCCGAATAAAATATTAGATGTTGGCACCTCCACATCATTGCATTCAGTTTTTATTCACAATTTGTTTAGTGTCCCAACTTTTTTGGAATCCGGTTTGTAGTAGCACATGCAAAGATCTCATTTAAATAATGAGATAAAGTCAGCACCATTTTTGCATCTGTAATCAACGGCTCACACAATCTTTATAGGTTGCTTGCAACATGGCCACTATTTATTTTTTCCACACCTGCACATTAGCACTCCTTATTTAGAATCTTCTAACATCAGGCCCTTCATGTGTAGTTTCAGAGCCTTTGCTTACAATAACTACATGAAGCCTGTGACCTGACATCCCCGAACTTTTACAATCTTTGTGATGTTTTCCCAAACTCTTTCTGAAGAGCCTTATTTAGGAAAGTTGGATCATCCACAGTCTCCTGTCTAGTAGGTCAAATAGTTATCTGTGGTGTTCAAACCTGGAGGTTTAGAATAGATCTGACATTCCTTACTCTGCCTGATGAACTCTGTTATTTGGGCTCGTTGTCCTGCTTTACAGGAAAACCGTTTGTACGTCGGTGGCTGTGCTACTAGTCTGATCATTTATGCCAGGCTCCTCTGATGGGGAGAAGCTGTCGTGTAGTAGAGAGGCAGGGGGAGGGTGTAAGCAGCGTTTTGATGTTACATGTCTGTTTCCCCTCCCCAAATTTAAGTGGTAATAAATCTGGGTCTATGCTGATTTATTTTAACCAGAAAATAGATTACATTAATAAAAATCTTAAAGGTTCATTTTTTTTTTTTTTTAGTTTGAGTTTATAGAATATTGTAGCATTTTCATGACGGTAGTATAGACTCTGACTCCAGGTAGCTCAAAGTTTAGAGAAAAGTAAATGGATTGGCCATACATGCAGAATAAACAGACTAGAGAGTTGCGTTGATGTTGGCTCTTCTCAGATGTAAATGAGCCAGTTACATTTCACATGTTCCTGTATCTACATTTTTGCTTTAATTTAAATTTCATTTTGACAAGTAAAACAACTACAAAGGTCTAGTGAGCAATCTTAAAAGCAGATTTGGGCCAACTCATCCATCTAGGCCCAGAAAATAAAAAGAGAAGAAGAAAAAAATGGCTTGATGATGGTGATCAAATGCATTGATTGACTAATGCTTACCAACTGTGATCACCTCTGTTTTTGTAATTATTTTTTTCATTCATTCTTTGATTATTTGACTCAATTTTGCAACAAAGTATGTTATCATAATTTAAGATATTAAACTAAAGCTTTCAAAAAACAAAACAAAACCAAAAAAAGAAAGCCTTTCATATGTTGACTTGTCTTCAGTTTGCTTTTGTGTCTTCTATTTCTAACAGGGAGAAGTCAAAAAAGTTTGCAGAGCAAGCTTCTGCTATTGTCTGCCTGCGAGTGTTGGGTGTACCAGAGGGTCGCATCGGGGAAGAAGATTCTGGCTTGGTCTGCAAGAGGAAGAGGGAAGGAAAGCCAAACAGCTGCAGTGAGGAAGGGAGGAGCAAGAAGCTGCATGTTGACATCCTGCAGGAAGCGGAAGCCCCAGGCCCCACTGTGGAAATGAACGGTGATGAGCAAAACCCAGCCACACCTCCAAAACAAGCAGAAACTTCAAGAGAAGCTCTCAGTTAAAACAGAAGACAGACAGATTTCTGCAATGTTTGACTGAACCAGATTACTGCAGATCAGCCTTTTGCTGTTCTAATATTTTGAAGCCTGGAAACTTTCCTTGGTGGAAACACTGAAAAAAAGACTCTCTCAAGATTTGCTTAAATCTTTCACATTTCTAAAGGATTATTTTCCCAGTGGGATCAACTGATTCCATCAGCTGGGACAAAGCCAGGTGGCCTTGATGATGCTTTTTTATTTCATGTATTATAAACTAAACTTTTGTTTAAAGTTTAAGTGGAGAGGTTTATATTTGTGTTTATAGGTAAAGCAGATCAATTAGTTCAGTTACAATTTTTCCACAAAAATCATATAAATCTTAATGCCTGTGCCTTACTGCTTAAAATTTTCCTTCTTGCTGTAAAAAGTTTTGTAAACCTGTCAAGGTGATTTATACATATTTTAATTTACATTCAGTCTTTATTTCTTAATTGGATGGAATATGCTAATATGCTAATGTCCGGATGTGTAATGACACAATGAAAACATATTTGAAAGACTTTCAAACGTTCTCCTGAAATGTCATTATGAAGAAATTATGTGAGATAATGCAGAACAGATGTAGCATTCTAGCTTTAACCAGATTTATTCTCCTTGTACAGTTTGGGGATGAATAGAAATAGTGAGTGACCTATACTGATCGAGTCAGCGCCTCCTAATGATAATTTTCTAAGTGAGCACAGACAACGCATAAAGATTTTAAAAATCTGTTGATGTTTGGGATTTGATAAATGGCTTTAAATAAGACAGACTGTGTGGGAAGATGATTGATAAACGTTTCATAATTTCTGTTTGTATCATTTTATGCTGTAGACTGGATAATGTAATTGTTGTAGCAGATTTCCCCCAAAGGATACAAATATACACTCTTGGACAAGAGACGGAAGGGGAAATGTTGCTACTTCATTTCATGATTCACTAAAACTGTAAAAAGATGGTAATGGAGAACTTTGACCCTTTTAAATGTTTTGCTATACAGGCAAAGACCCTATTTGAACTGTTTTTAGGAATTGCAGTGATCATCTATCTGTGTTGATTATGATTATTTGGTGTTGTCAACATGGATGTTAAAGTGTCCCAAAGGAGCAAAAGAGCCATATGAAACACTTCAAATTTATTTTGAACATCAAACACACAGAGACACACACTGGACTTGACAATCAGAAAGTTACTGAGGGTCCAAATATTTCCAGTCTCTTTAATTGAGACAGCCCTATAAAAAAAAAAAAGATGTAGCAAGACGTTATCTTAGCGACCGACTCAGCTGAACACTTTGATCAAGTTTATTCTTTCACGTCTCTTTCTGACCTTTAACAGTAATTAGCTGGTAGCTTTCATTCTAACATTTCAGACATAATCAATTCTATTGCTCCCTTTAAAATGAAGGTTGTCTTTGGTGGGAAGAAGTCCCTGTAGTGCTCCACTGGTTAGAAGGGAATGTCAAAAGTTTAACATGGTGATGTAGGACTGGACTGCAGATTCACTGTGACATCTATTTAGAGAGATTTCACTTCACATATATAACTTACAACTGAAGAATGCAAGGAATCCTTTTCTGAAATCAAACCCTCATGTGACCAAGGCAAATTAACTCCAATCCACCAGGACCTGAAACAATTTTGCTAATTTCTTTACTGAAAAAATTCTGAAAATTAGAGGGTCAAGCTCATTACCAATGTTGTGCCTAATCAATAGCAATCTGGACTGTTCACTCCACATCATGACTCCACCCATCCTGCACACAGATTGTTCCAGTCTTCCAGTCCAGGCAAGAGGCTGAGGAGCATCCAGAACAACACCAGGCTGAGAAACAGTTTCTAATTCTACCCTTCAGCCATCCATCACATTGCTGAATTCAAACTGCACTTAATTCAGCTTCATTTCATAAATTATTTACACACACTTTTTAAAAATGCATATCTATGCATCACTTAAATGACTTTAATTTATTTGTGTATTCTATTTCTTAATCTGGGACCTGAGTCCAAATTTCGTACCACAAACAAAAAAAGGTGGTACGACAATGAAAGAAAATCGTTGAACCCTTAAACACATAATGCTTCCTAGTTTAAGTAAAGAGAAGTTAAAGAACTTAAATTCGCCTTAACAGAAACGGTGAAGATATATTTTGGTCAGAATCTTACCCTGTTATGGATCTTACTGACAATATATTTTTGCTTATTGTATTATTTTGTTAATCTTCTGGCCTAAGATCAAACTACCAACAATTCCCAAACTGATTAGCATACAGTTACGAAAGAGAACAATAACAAGAGGAATAAAAAAGTGAGGGAGTAAAAAGCTTACATTCTTAATTTGATCAGCTGCCATGAACTTGAATTTTAGCTTGCGTATTTCATTAAGTGAACTGACCAAAAGTTGAAATGAAGGCATATCTTCTAGCAACAACTTTGTGTATGTCGTTACGGGGCAGTCTAATGATGCCTTTATGATTACTGGGAAATGTGAAAAACATAAAAGTTGAAATCGGTAAGATAAAGAGCCTAAGGTAATTTTTTTCCACTATATAGCCGTATCATTGTAAGGGAAAGCCCAAAATAACAAAAAGCATATTTTCACCTTCTCAGGAAAGTAGGTACAGTGTTTATTATCTGGTTGAATTTCTGCTTTCTCATTGCATAACAAACATGAAGTAAGCAAGGCTGCCTACTGATAAGTTTTAAGTGTAACTAATCTCTCACAGGAAGCAAATGTCTTGCGGCCACAAGAGGAAGTGTGCATGCAGCTGATTACTGCATTTTGTGTTTTCAACTTAATCCTTAATCAAAAGTGTTTCAGTATGAAATAGTTGCATCTTGTGTTTATAAAACCTTAATATTCCACAAAAACAATTACCGACAGTTCGTAATTTAATCACAAAGAAAATGCATTGTAAAGAAAAGCAAAAGTAAATTCTAAAAATGTAAAAGTTATCAAAGTCTGGTTGCTTACTTCAGTGCTGAAGTTGTCAACCAAAATTATGCATTCTTTATCAAAAGGATTATGAAAGTGAACTTATCCATAGCTCTAGAGAGAACAAAGTCATTTATTTGAAGACTCTCTCTTAGCCACCTTTACGCATCCGTTTCAACAGACAAAGATTACGAGGGGACTTGAATGCAGCACGAGGATCAAGCTGAAGCGGAGTAAAAACTCGCTGCAGCCGAGCAGAAACGCAGTGAACAAGTTAGCTCAACAATGAGATTTTAGTCAATTAAGCTTTGTCCGGATGTGTAATTACTCATTACTTGTCTCGGTGAACTACTTTCAGGTTAGATTTATCGTGTTATTACCGGAGTCGACACAGAGTTCTGCTTTCTTTCGGATAAAACGGGGAGCAAGAAAGGTCCGTTTTAAAGACAGTGCGATTTATAGGCTACATGCATTGACGTTTAATCGTCTCATGGTTCAATGTCCACAATAAAGTCTGCTCAAGAGCTGGACTTCAGACTGCTGTTTGAGGAACACGGTAAACACTCAACAGGTACGTGTCATTTTGTCGAGTAGTTAGTTAGCGAAAACGCTTGTCAAGTTCAAGAGATTGTAAGAGTTAAACCAGAAGTAGATCATTTAGGCCTTCAAAATAAAAGTAAAATAAAATTTAAAAAAGTTACAAATTAATGTTCTGAATTTTACCAATTTGACGAATTTTTGAAAGGTGTCCTGGTGTCTTGTGATGGACCCAATTGCAGCAGGCCTGAGAGGATACCCTGAATGAAGTGAAGATTTAACAATAAAAATGAAGAACAAAAGCCATAACTCTAGATAAACAAACCAGCAAAGAGAACACTGGCAGAATGCAGGGAAGTGACGGGAGTGGAGGAGAGAATTCCATGAGGAGTGACTGAGGATGAGGTGCTTAAATATGGAGGAGGTTGCAAAGATCTAGGCTGATGAGCTATTGAGTTGCAGGTGTGAGAGGAGAGCAGGAAGCAGGCTGAGGAGACAGAACATTGGGGACGAGGAAATAATTCTAACACTAAAGAATGACTGGACTAAAGAAACATAATAAAACTGTAACTAAGAATAACTAGAAAAAAGAAATAAACATAACTAGAAACATTAAGAAGGACTGAGTTAAAGTAAAACAGAAACAGGACTCATCTAAACAAAAGGGAAAGGGACACAGAATAATCAAACTAGAATAAATCAGAACTCAAAAACACTTAACCTGGAATCCTAACAGAATGCTTGGATATCACAGTGAAAGTGTTTATTTGAATTATTTTGCGAAAAAAGTAGTGTAGTTAAAGCTGGGGTATGTAACTTTTAATTATTATAATTATTATTATTTATTTACATATTTGTTAAACATGTATGAGACAGATAATTTGTGAGAAAAAAATTGAGCTCCTCTGCATTCTGCCAGTTCTCCCAGTGCTAACTACAGAAAGACTCAACTCGGTCAGAAACCACCAATTAAAGTCAGGAGGAGCATTTTTGTGTTGTCACTCATGCTTGTGTTGGCGCTACTCACAACCTCCAGCTTGTTCTCTGCTATGCTCTGAATGCTCAGGCTAGTTAGCATAGCCACTGAGCCACTCAAAGGCTTTCTTGGGACATTAGTACATTAAGCAGCTTGTACATGAGGTAGGTTGTGTTAAGAGAGGAAAAATTCTTGAACTTTAAAAACCTTTTGACTCGTTAAATCC